ATCCAGAAGTTCCTGAACCTGTACGGGGACCACATCGACCCGCACCGCAAGTTCGTGCTGCAGCTCTTCGCCGACGACTGGGGCCAGTACGTGGACCTGCCCAAGGGCTTCGCCGTGGGCGAGCGCTGCAAGCTGCGCCTCGTGCCCCTGCAGAACCAGGTGAGCCTGGGCCCCGCGGGCCTCCGCCGCCCCCAGCCCCGCCCAGCGTCTGCTGCCGCCCGGCGCGGGGCAAGCGACCCCGGCCCGGCGCGGTAAGAGGCGAGAGTCCCCTGTAAGAGTTGAACATCGTAACCTGACGGGTCACGTGGGCAGACGCGTTAATCAATGAGCTGGTTCAACTTGGTGTTAAACCTGCCCCAGGATTCCCCCAGTGCCGGCCTTGTGTCAGCACCTGTAAGAGGTGGCCCCTGGGTGCTGGCTGGAGAGGGGCGGTGGGTTTGGGAGGGTGGTAGGTCAGGGCTGAGGGTAGTCTAATGTAGAGGTTAGAGCAGCGGTTCTCAACCCTTTTTTGTACCAGGACCCATCTGTGAACATGGATGGCTGGTCCCAACCCAGTGCCCCTCACTCCCAACCCCTGCCCCAAGCCCCAGCCCCCCAGTGTGTGGGGCAGGGGGAGCCCCAAGAAGCTCCTCGCAGGCCTGAACTCTGCCAGCGTGCCAGGGAAAAAAGCCACAGCTTCCCATGTTTTTCTTCTTTAAAGGAGAATCCATTTTAAAGTTTGTTGATCCATTTTTTAAGTTTGCTCACGACCCTTTCATATATTCTTGCGATCCATGGGTTGAGAAACGCTGGATTAGAGGGTGGTTTGGATAGGGATGATCCTGCCTTAGGCAGGGGTTGCACAAGGTGATCTCTGGAGCTCTCTTCTAGCCCCACTTCTCGGTGGCGGCAGGGCTTGGGCTGGCAGCTTGAAAGTCGGTGCTTGTTAGGCAGCTTCAAGGAGAAACATCGGAGCTGGTGCTCCGGGCATAAATTGCTGTCTTAAAAAAAATAAATTAAAGAAGTAGTCAGGCAACACTTGGGGTAGCCCCAGTGTGCCCTCTGGTAGTGTCATGGCCACTGCCTTGCTCTTGAATTGTAGCAGCGAGCTCCCAAGCTGAGGGAAGCTTCAGTGCAGAGGCAAAAGGGATTAGGCAAAACCTAAATCCAGGAGGAAGCCACTCAGTAAGCTTGCTTTTTGTATTGAAAAAAGGCCCATTATTAAACTGGATAGTCTTAAGGCGCTTCCCAGAAGTGTGTGCATCTCATGGCCACCCTTGGATTCAAGTCTCACGTTGAGTGAATCCTGTTTCCCTCAGATGTGGTACAGCATATTGAGAGACTAAACACTAGTCATTTGAAATAACAGGTGCTGGACATTTATTTAACAAGCACATGGTAGGATAAAGTGAGGGAGGGGGCTTCATAGTTGGAAATAGTGAAGGTCACTGTTTAAAGAGCTTCTTGCCATCTCAGTTTTCTGTCAGACTTTAGGTGTCTCCGAGTCTTGCATCAAGTCTCACACAGTAGGCTTCTTGTAACGTGCAGGTCAGTAGGAGTGTGTGGCAGTCAACCACGAAATCAGCATGCCAGACAGGATTTCATACTAAACTATCTTTGTGTATGCTAGAAATCCCTGCTGGTCATGCTGTGGCAGTTGTGCTCAGAGCAAAATTGGCTTTTCTTTCCCCTTTCCCACCTCGGGGAGTTATTAAAAAAATAAAACGGGATGTTCTGAAACAAAAATATGGATTTTATGTTCAGAAGAATGTGCAGATTTCAGATGGAGTTAAAACACTCGTGTGTGTGTGGGGGGGGGCAGAAATTACAGATGAGTTAGAAATAGTATAATAAATGAAAAGTTTATTCTTTGGAACATTGGTAGGTTATTTGTATCTTCAGAAAAGACTTGTTTGTAAACTAACTGTAAACAACTGATGGAGGATCAGTCCAAATAAACTATCCAGTCAGACTTTTTTAATCTAATAACGTTGTTTTATACACCAGAAATATTTTTTTCAGTATGTCTATTAGTCGTGTGTCAAAGATGCTCCCTGATACTGATCTTTCTTTAATTAGGCTGCCAAGGATGTGATTGGAACATGATTTGGGATAGTCATAACAGGATGAAAAGATAGTGCCTAAGAACAGCATTTACAGAAAAGGGCTGAAATTGTATTCATTCACAAATGTATATATGACCAGAGGAATTGTCATTTAACTAGCCATTCTTAGTGTCAAGTAAAGCAAAATTTTCCTGCAGAGTTGAGAGAGGGAAAACAGAGGAGTTCTGCTCAGTGAAAATGATCAGCATAGACTTCCAGTCCAAACTGAGTCAAGGGCATAAAGAAGCAATGTAAGTAATGAAACAGAAGCTAGTGTAGAGTTCAAATAAACTAAGGCTGTATTAGTGACATAGATCATTTGTTTGTTTGTTTTCTTCTTCCATATGCAAATACCACTTTGCAAGAAATTCATGCAGGTGATACTCCAAGCCATGATCCTTGATTTGAATCCCTCTGCATGACTTGAGTCATAACTGCTGTTTTGACCTACAGGAGTTAGTATTGGGGTATCTGGTAATGCATCCTTAATAAACACAAAAGACATTTTATTTGGTCATAATCTAACACAAGCTTCCAATCATTTTCATAGCACAGACCACATTGCGATGCTACTGTTATCTCATGGATTAACTATAATCCAATTATAGCCCTATGGCAAAAGCAACTGCTTGCATAAAAAAGTAAATAGGGCAGTATTCACTAGGTCTTAGTTGCCTCTTTCATGTAATTTAGCTGCTGATAATGAGGTTGAAACACCATTGTATGACTAGCTGGCTCTTCTTGAACCTGCAGCAAATGGGCTTAATAATTGTACAGATTGGAAACATCTAGTGTACCACTCTGCTGAAACTATATTGCTTTACATGCATCAATGCAAGTCAGTAGGATAGGTGGGCTACGTTTGGCGTTCAGCAAGATGTAGCCTGTCAAATTCTTAATTGCTGTCCAACAGTCATGTAGAACAAGTTTCTATAGTAAATACTGCTGGTCTGGCTATTAAGCTAAAAATCTTCTATTTCCCACAACAAAAAAAATCACTTCTTTCCTGATGCCTAACAGTTTGTGAGCAATGTTTTGCCTTGGAGGGTGAGACACAAAACATGTGTACACGCTGAATGAACAAAAGTGATTCCTTTTCATGTCACTAAGGACACAATCAAGTTCATCCTCTGGAGAAAAATAACTTCCTTAACTTTGGGACCCTGTTAATTCAAGGCAGGGCATACAGGTAAAAAGGATTTGTTTGTTACAGTTGGCTGTGCCAGAGAGGTAGGCTTCCTGAAGGGGCAAGTGGAAGAAAGGAGATGCTGATACTTTGGGGTTAGACTACATTTTTAGGGTTTGGAGATGCATCTGAAGGGAAGGTTACCATGCTTGTTGTGGCTTGGGAAGTTTTGAGGATAGGAATTAAGTATGTGTCAGCATGAAGCTAGAGAGGATGTTTCATTTTATTATCACTTTTGTGTTATTTGTGTTAACTCTAATCATTATTATACTTGTATCCTGGATTTATAAACTTTTGGCTTAAAATTTATTAGCAACCATCTTCATCTTAGTTACCACCTGACATTTAAAATTTTGTCAAAGCTGGTAATTTCAGGTGCATTTTGGAAGGAATTCTCACTTTTGGTGCACATCTCAAGGTCAGTCTGCTCCTGTATGGTTATAAGATTTTTGTGGGAAATACAACCAAGAAGATAGTATTTAACTGCTGCTAAAGAGTAACTGCAACATTGAGTAGCTTCCAAAAAATTGTAATTTGTTTTATTCAAATAAATTTTTCAGCATTAGAACATTTTTTTGTGAACCCATCCTCATGTATGTGCTCCCACACCTTTTTTATTGCCTACCATTCAAGTCCTGTGTTGAATACATTTTTCTAATACCCTCAAGTTATTCTAGAGTTCTTATTGTAATATCCGAGTTCTTCACAGGCCATATTGGATTTACCTTCATATTTTACAAGAGAAAGATTGAGGTATGGAAACTGCCAACGCTGAGTTTGGACAACCTTTTCATTTGTGTACAGAATTTGATGTGAACAGACAGGGTTGCCAACTCTCTGTAAATTTATGAACACTCTAAAAATAACCAGGCTAAAAATGACTGTCCACAAAGAAATTGTGCTGTCCGTAAATCTCAGGCTAGAAGCAACTCCACAGAATTGGCTCCATAAAAGTGCTGTAACTCATTGAAGCTCCAAGGTTGGACAATGAGCTATATGCATGGTTAAAGCAGCAATGCCACCTGGTGTCTGAGCAGGAGTGCAGCACCCCAAAGGTATCTTTTCCCAGGGTTTCGTGGCAACCCCAACCTAACCCCTCCAGCTGTGTGCTGGTGCTGCTACTCCTAGTGCTGCCTCCCATCTGCCTATGCCACTGATGGGTGGCAGGTAGGCAAGCAGTGTCCTTCTTTGAGGCCATATGCTTTGACAGGGGAATGGTTTGGTGAAAGTAAGGTTGTGGAAAGGAGAGCAGCATGGTGCAGGGCGCACCCGCCAGGACATGGGGGTGAGATGGAGACCCCTGAGGTGTGGGCAGCATGGTGTAAAATCATTACTGCAGTCAAGTAGAGTTATCAACCCAAAAACTTTTTTTTTTCTCCTCTCCAAACTTTTTTACTATAGTTTTGAACCGTGCCCTTGTCTAGGGTGTGGCAGAAGGGTTACCTTTACATTATATAAAACATATACCGTAAAAATACATCTCAGTGAAAAGAAAGTTTGGTCCTCAGTAAAAACTTTGCAGATTGTCTGTCTGTAAATAAAATTTATCTTGACTTGGCAAACCTGTGCCAGGACATGTCTAGACTGTCTTCAGACCACTCTTGCTAGTGCTTCAGTAAAGCCTAGTGAACCTGTTCCATGTACCCTGAATCTCAGAAGGATGTAATTTAATCTTTCTTAATGCAGTACTGGGCATGTGCTAAGAAACATTCCTAAGACAAAAACTTAGGGTATGGGGCCAGCACTGTACTAGGGATGGTTACATTGCATTTTTTTTTCTAGGCTTTAAGTGTGACCAAAGCAGATATGCCATGTTTAGTTGGTTGGAATGCAATGCCCTAGGTTCTGATTTTTTTTTTCAGCGTATGTGACATTTTTGTTTAGCTTTTATATGCTTAAAGCATAGCATTAGCATAACTAATTTCCACACTTTACAAATTAGATGGGCAAGTGCTAAAAATGGTACACTTTACAGGTAACTGTTAACTAGACCTATAAAGTTTAAATACTGTATTTTGTTTTCAGATGACCATGCTGGGTACTTTGACACCCTCGAGCACTGTATTTTTCTGTTGTGATATGCAAGAAAGATTCAGACCTGCTATCAAATACTTTGGTGATATCATCAGCGTAGGACAACGATTGGTAGGTTTTCCACTCCAGCAGCTCCTCTCTAAAATAATTGTAAATTACTATCAGTATAGAGACTCCTCATGATTATGCTTTAGTGGCTGGTGTTTTATAAAACCCAGTTTTTAAGTAAATGGTGTATATTATTGCTCAAAAATAATTTGTATGTTTTTTTTCTTTCTTTTTGCTTTGTAGCTCCAGGGTGCACGGGTTCTAGGGATTCCAGTTATTGTAACTGAGCAGTATCCCAAGGGCCTTGGAAGCACTGTTCAAGAAATTGATTTAACAGGAGCTAAACTTGTGCTCCCCAAAACAAAATTTTCGATGGTTTTGCCAGAAGTTGAAGCAGCATTAGCGGAGATCCCTGGAGTCCGCAGTGTTGTCTTGTTTGGAGTAGAAGTAGGTATTCTGTTACTATAGCATAATGAAACACTATTTTATGTTGATGTCTTGTGAAAAGCCATCATGTAAAGGATGAATTATTTAGGTTGGTGTCAGATTTTTAGAAGAGATAATCTGATGGTATGTTCAGTTAGACGCATATAGGTTGGTTTTGTGGGACAAGGTTCTGCAATCAGGTTGTATTTAAAACTCCCATTTAATTCCATTGTGGGTTCTCCCCTCTTTTCCCCCCCCCCCCCCCCCCCCCATGCTCCCTGGGCATGAAAAGGCTATAGGATTAGACCCTAATTAATCTGTAATTCTAGGCAGTGTTGCTTACCTCTTATAATATTGCTGTTTTTTTCCAGACGCATGTGTGCATCCAGCAAACAGCATTGGAGCTGATTGGCAGGGGTTTGGAAGTTCATATTGTAGCTGATGCCACCTCATCAAGAAGTATGATGGACAGAATGTTTGCTCTTGAGGTAATTTTCATGATTTAGATAAACATCTTTCTAAATCTTGTATCTGTGCGTTGTTCTCTTATTATTAAGGTTGCCAGCCATTGCAGCTAAGTATGCAGGCTAGCAGAAATAAAAGGTCAGAGTGATATAGTCATCCACAAGCTGCCTAACCAAGCAGCTGGAGGACCTTACATGATGACCTGTGCCTATATGCAGAGCATGGAGTTGGGAAAATTTGGTAAAAATGAGAGTGTATCGAATAATATAGGTCATTCTCATTGCACAGTATTTAAGGTTTTTGTGTTTAAAAATGTTACAGAACCTCATGTTAGAATTCGGAATGGTATTTTGCTCAAAATATTGCTAAATTTAAACTTCTTGTTATTGCTCCTTCACATTTGACACAGTTCCTTTTTAAGCTCCTTTTAGTATGCACAGAAAATTGAGTACAGCATAAACTAACCTTTTAGCTTTAAATCTCCAGAATCTTTACAAAATTACTTCATCTTGACCAGGTAAATTCTTCTTAGCCTAGCTGAATGTTGAAAATAATGTCAAAGTGGCTATATATAAAGCAAGAACATTCAAAAGTGTAGTTTCATTACATATACAGCTTCATGGAAGTGAAGACGCATAATTGCTTTGCATGTTTTTTTGTTAAAAAAACCAAGATGGGGAAAGAAAATAACAGGCACTAAACGTGATTTTTTTTGCTCTGTATTTTAGCAGAATATCAAACTTTTAAAATGAATAATAATTGCATAATTTTATTCTGATTGCATAAGGTGAAAAAGTAGTTTAAGGTTTGACTAGAAATAGAAAGATTTAGGGGTAAGGAAAATCAATGGTATAGATTAAAACACATTAGCTTTGATTAAGTACAAACTTAATGTAATCTGCCACATAATGCACAAGGAGCATTGTAGACTCATTCCAAACTAGTGTACTAGAGTAGTACTTGTCAGCAGCAGTCCCTCAAAATGAGGATGACATTTTTCTAGTAAACAGGGATGTCGTTGGTGTGTCTGTAGGGGACTGAGAAGGCCAATTCAAGATCTGCATAGTCAACTGAAGATGTAGACAAATAGTTCTGGAAGCAAGGGGCAGATTCTGGTGATGTCTGGTCACATGTCTTTCTCTTTGTCTGTCTTGTCTGTCCGCCTCCAGAGTGAGGCAAATGTGCTTGAAATGATAAATGCCTTTTGGGGATGATTCAGTGCTTTAATCTCCCAGATACTGATATTAATATTGGGTTTCTTCATATTGGCCTTCAAGGTGCCCTTGAATCTCTTCTATTATTCTAGAACAGTGGCTGTCAGTGAGTTAGGAGTATAGGACCTGCTTTGGGAGCTGGCTGTCAGGCATCGTTAAATGCCCTGTCCAGTGGAACTGGTATATATAAACATGGCTTCAATGCTGATCATAGTTCCTTGAGTCAGAATGCTGGCACTTGCTCTTCTGTCCTTTCAGTTGACATGGAGGATTTTTCTGATGGCATTGCTGATGGTAATATTCCAAAGCTTTCAAGTATTTCCAATATGTTGCCCAAGTTTCATACCTATACAACAGCATAGGGATGGCAAAGGCCTGGTAGATGATATTTGATTTGGGTCCTGGTGTCATGATTGTTGAAGACATTATTTTGGAGATATCCAGAGGCAGCACTGACAGATTTTATCTGGTGTTTAATATAATCAAATGCTAGTTTTTGGGAAAGGTGACTACCCAGGTAGGGGAAATGGCAACATTCTCCAAGGATTTCCCTTTTATTGTAATATGTAGAAGAGTATCTGGATATTTAGGGGTGGACTAGTAAAGGATCTTGGTTTTTATTAAGTTAACAGTGAGTTCAAGAATTCCATATGCTTCACAGAAGCAATCAAGAGTGCCCTGGAGCTCTTCAGTTGAGTGGGAACACATGACATAATCATCAGCATATTGAAGATCATTAATGGAGGTGTTGATTATCTTGGATTTGGAACACAACTGGTTGACATTAAAGAAGTTCGATCCATATGATACTGGATCCGACTCTAGATGCAATTTATCAGCAATGAAATGAAGAATAGCTGTGAAAAAAGTGTTGGTGCAATCAAGGTTCCTTGGGTGAATCTGATATCTTTTATTAGACCAACCCAAATAGTTGGAAAATAATTATTAAGCAAGCTTTCAGGTTCAAAAACCCTTCGTCAGGCTAAGGAAGTTTCAGCAGTTGGTGTGTGCTGTTCCTGGATGGAATGAAAAGCAAAGAAGCCAGCGGCTGGGCTGGTATGCATACAAGACAGGTAGTCAGTGAAAATGTAGATTGAGGAGTCAATGGGTGAGACACAGGCGAGCAGGGGGGAGAGAAGGGGGATGAAAGTGGAGAGATACCTGGGGAGCCAGATGTCAGGCAGGTTATAGTGTATCATAAATCCAATGTCTATATTTAGTCCATGATTTTTAGTATCCAGGAGGTTGATGAAGTGGAGTTCGTAGGCTCATCTCTAGGAAGTGTTTTGTAAGTTTCCTTTGAGGATCAGGACTGAGAGATTGGAGAGAGAGTGGTTTTCTTGTGAGAAATGTGCTCTCACAGGTAATTGGGTATTCCTGTCTTTGATAGATTTCCTGTGTGCGTTCATTCTGGTGCGCAGTTGTTGTTTGGTCTCTCCTACATATCTTCCATCAGGGCAGTTGGTGCATTGGATGAGGTATATTACATTTCTGGAGGTGCAGCTGTAAGATCCAGGAATGCTGATGGCTCTGTTGTGGGGTGTAGTAATAGTGGGGGTGGTGGAGATGTGTTGGCAGGTTTTGCCTTTCTTGTCATGGCATGGTCTGGATCCTTTTGGTGTGTTCTGGGCTTGGTGTAATCACACATCCTTGCTTGACTCCAATTCTAATAGTGGAAGGGTCTGTTTCTGAGCCATTGTTTAGGTTGGTGGTTGCTTTCAGGTTGTCATGATGAAGTCTGATAATGGTAACAAATTTTGGCAGGCATTTAAATCTCATCAGGATTTTCCATAGGATGTCCCTGTTGATTGAATTGAAGACCTTAGTCAAGTCAGTGAAGACCCTGTAAAGATTTCTGTGTTACTTGCAGCACTTCCACAGCTGTTTAGCATCAGACATTGTTTCTATATGTTGTACCTCTCAGTGGCTTGAAAACCACATTGGGACTTGGGTAGACTCTTTTCAGCAACGAAGGCAAGCCTTGTGAGGAGAATGCAGGAGACTATTATTGAACTCCTGTCCATAGTGGAGAAAAATACCATGATAATTACTGCAATCTGTTCTTTCTCCTTTCTTGAATATCGTTACAATTCTGCTGTCTCTGAAGTTACTGAGAATCTGTTCATGTTTCCAGATTTTCTTAATAACAATATGTAGTTAGTGAGAGAAGTTTTTTCCTTTTACTTACAAAGATAAGTCTAAGAGAAAAAGGTGATTTTCTATGACAGGATTATTTCATATGGCCTAACTACTGCCTCCTACAACTTGTGTGGTTGTCTGTGATATTTAGCAACTTCAGCTTTAGTTATAGGTGGTGAGGAGCAAGCGTGCAAATTCTCTGACCTCAAAACAGACACTGGACTGAGATTCAAGAGAGTCTAACTGCTAGCTGTCACAAATTTTTTGTCTTCCCTTGGGAAGATCGCATAAGCTCATGTACTTCAGTTCAGTTCACAGTACTTCTGTGAAATGGGTTCAATATAAAACCTTTTGTAGAAGTATGATAATGAATTCATTAGTAGTTGTGAGCCACGTATGTCGTATGATGGTGAGGGCCACATAAGTACATAGCTCAGTGGTTCTCAGCCTTTTTAGATTCCAGGCACTTAATAACTTTTCTGAATTTAGCAGCACACATTTCAAAAAATAATTTAATTTGTTTTTTGAGTGGGGGAAAAATCATGGATCAATTCTTCTGTCGCAAAGAACTCAGACTGCTACAGGTCAGAAGATTTTTAACACTGTGGGTTCCTATTTGAAATCTCTGCGTTTACTTTGTAAATTATGTGTAGGTGTTTGCACGCACAAGTACTAATATTGCAGGACGCCCTGCAGCACCCTCAAAAGGATTTCAAAGCACCCCAGGGTATTGTAGGACCCCCTACTGAGAATCACTGACTCGGGTAAACTTCCAGTCTACTTCTTACCAGACTGCCGGACGTGAGTTTACTGATAGTGAGAGCTTTCTTCATGTTAGCTGCAGCACACTTGTAGAAATCCTTCTTTGCTTCGGTCACAAATTTACTGTCTGAACTTAATGCTTATTGTTGAAAGTATTTCAGCCCTGGTGGCCAAGGCTAAGTTGTTAATGCTCCCATTTGATAGTGTTACCTTTTATCATAGCTCATCATCTCAAAGAGTCAGTTCAGAGAGTCTTCTGTTGCTGGATTTTACTGCCACTACATCTGTTCCCAGTTGCTTCCAACAACATGGATGTAACCAGCTTACAGGGACTGCCTTCTAAAGGTTGTTTCTTTTCAGTCCTTTTGTTCTTGACTTATTCAAAATATCACCAACATGCTAAAATCAACTCCTATGTCCTCTCGCAAGAAAGCGAGGGCCATATGTATTTTAAGCTTTGAGGAACATTATTCAACCAAGCAATGCGCAGAACCATTTTTGCTGCACCTGACACATCTTTCATTCTTCCTGTAGATTTCTGTAACATTTCTCCGCCGTTAGGTGAGGGCAAAACTACAGCCTACATTTGTAATTTGTCTGCTCTGGACATCCTCCCTTTCACTAGAGATCTTCCCCTCCATTTGAATAAATGTATGAATAGCCAATCAGAGAGATCTTATAATTTTCATCTGCTGTTATCAACTCACTGCATATTCCCATACATGTTGTTTTTACAATTTACTGCCTTTTCCTTCTCTACACAGCTTGCTCTTGATATCTTCCAGAATACTCTCCACAATTTAAAATATACAAAGAACTGCAGTGGCAGCTATCCTCTGGCTCTCTGCCAGAGATCAGTAACAACTGGTTATCACCTACCAAGCACCATGATACAGACAAACTGTTTCAGGCCTTTTTAATCAACCTTGTGACCAAATTTTGAAGAGGAGAATTAATAAGGAATACAATCTGTGCCTTTCACTCAGGGAAAAAAAAAGTTCCCTCTGCATTATTCCCATCAGAGATGCAATTTCCTGATTTTATTTGCATTTTATAATTCATGAAGAAACGATTCTCCATGTTTAGACAGGAGGCACATTAGGAAACTTTCTGAAAATTACCTCAAACCTACAAGAATATTACTGATTATCAGTATGTTGGTCGCTACATTCATTTACAACCCTATTGTTTTATGTTCTTCATAGATTTCGTAGACATTAGGGCTGGAAGTGGCCTTGGAAGATCATCGAGTCCAGCCCCCTGGCCCAGGGGCAGGAAGTCAGTTGTGGTCATAGGTTCCCAGCAAGATAGAGGTCCAAATGTTTCTTAAAAGAGTCCAGAGTAGGTGCTTGCACCACCTCTGGAGGCAATCTATTCCAGGCCTTGGGGGCTCAGACAGTAAAGAAGTTTTTCCTTATGTCCAACCTAAAACCTTTCTTGTGAGAGGTTCTTTATTATACTCGTTTGCTTGATAGACATGTCAGAGCAAATCTATTGTTCTACTGTGCCCTGTTTCTCAGGAAAAGAGGATCTTTTGTTTTAACAACAATAATAGCATTTTCTCTCCTTTACAGATGTAATATCAAGATTCCCCTCAGAAAAAAATAATCTTTACACCTTAAAGCATCTATTTCCATGCTCTAATTAGGAGAGAGGAGATTATACAGGGGCTAAAATAGCTAATTAGTTGCCCAGCTGACAACTATACTAGAAGCTTCCTGGTCAGCACGTGTAGCCTCAGGGAAATGTATATCATCTATAGATCAGGATGCATATGTACATATTGCTTCCTAGCACCAGGAGAAATTTTCTCCCTTGTATCTTGGGTTTGGAAATTCTGTGTCTAAAAGCCTGCCTGGCTGCACTAAGTAAGGTACCTTGGGACTTCCAAAGCATGCTGTCCTACCATACATGCGCATGCACACACACACGGATTGTTTCACATTATTATTGTGATCATGACAAAAAATCTGCACTCTGCTTTTTAAGTGTTAATCCTCCTTTTGAGCAAAAGAAGAAAACCCCTATTTTAAGGCCCTACAGCTTCTGCTGGCACACGTTGTCTTTGAGAGATAGACATTGGTAACCAGTACATTCCTTCCAACTTCTATACACTTTTTTTCTTTTTTGTACTATGCAAATCCATGTGAAGCTGCTATACTAGACATAGAGAGGAGGTGTGTTTCTGGATGTCCTACTTCCAGAGCAATGCAAGTCCTATGAGATAATGAGACCTAAGTGATGCATAACCCATATACTGACTTTCTTCACAGGGTGAATTTTTCCTTTAAAGAACAGACTTTTAAAAATTTTCCAGGTAGCCATTCTGTAACAGAGCACTCTATCACTATTCTGCCTTAACAAGGGCATGATTGGCATGAGATCTACTCAGTGCCAAAAAAGTGACTGTTATTGCTTCGTCACTTGCAGTTTTTTAGGTTAGGTAGCAGTAATGTTTTTCCTTGCCAATGTATTGTACTTCACACCGGTATTTCTTAACAACATATTCTCTAATCGTAGAGGTATATAAAATTAGTTGTGGAAGTGACCTCAGGAGGTCATCTAGTCCAACTTCCTGCTCAGATCAGGACCATCCCCAACTATATCACCCCAACCAAGGTTTTGTCTAGTAGGATCTTAACCTCCAGGGATGGAGAATCCACAACATCTATGGGTAACCTGTTCTAGGGTTTTACTACCCTCCTAGTGAGAGAGTTTTTCCTAATATCCAACCTAAACATCTCTTGTTGCAACTTGAGACCATTCGTTGCTCCTTGTTCTGTCATCTGCCACCACTGAGAACAGTCTAGCTCCATCGTTTTTGGAGCCATCCTTCAGGTAGCTGAAGGCTGCTATTAAATCCCCTCCCAGTCTTCTCTCCTGCAGACTAAATAAGCCCCGTTCCCTCAGCCTCTCCTCAGAAGTTGTGTGACCCAGACCCCTAACCGTTTTCGATGCCCTCTGCAGGACTCTCTCCAATTTGTCCACATCGTTTTTGTAGTGGGGACCCCAAAACTGAACACTACTCCAGATGTGGCTTCACCAGTGTTGAATAGAGGGAAATAATCACTTCCCTTGATCTGCTGGCAACACTCCTAACGATGCAGCCCAGTATGCCATTAGCCTCATCTCCAAGAAGGCTAGAAAGTATCATTTGGAAAATTCTAACTTTAACCTCAAGTCAAGCGTTTGGTACTTAAATTCTACTACTTGTATCCATTTATATATGACCTAAGCAAATCTTATGCATGGCAGCTAAGATTTTTCTCCACTGAACTTTCCCAATGGAAGGAATTTCCCTAAATTTGTTGTATGCTATATCTATAATGATTAACTTTAAACTATTCATGACTTCATATGCTGTGAGAATGTTCTGTTTTGTTGCAAATTGAGAATATTATCTGCTGGAAATTATGCAGCTATTGTTAGCTTAGAGCAAACAGTATAGTCACTGTTTTACAGGATGTGTATTAATCATCAAATATGATACTTGCCTAAAAATAAGTTAGTTTTTTCCCCCCTATTACTTAATCCAGTAACCAAGGAATAAAAATCCCAGCTCTATCTAGAAGTTATGATATGTCTTCTTTACAACCCACAGTAAAACCAACACAGAGAAATACATATCCTTTTCATGCCTCCTCCCCCCCACTTCAGAACCCCTTGGTTATAATAATCTTTGTGTTTTGTACAGTTTGGTGGAGGATAAGGAAATTAAAATAAGATTAAAGGTAGGGATATAAGATGTGATGTTAACTAAGTAGCAGCATAACTCTGCAGTGAAGGGTTAGCCAAGTAGAGAGGTGTGCATCTTTTCTCCTACATGCGGCAGGATAGCTTGCTGTACAGGCAACTGTTACAGCCATCCAGAGTTTGCAAGCAGTATAAGATGAATTTTGTTTCGAGACAGACCAGGGCTGTCCAACGTTACTGTTACTAAGGGCCACACTCTGAGAAAGCCACTTGTCATCGGGGGAGCAACCCTTCTCCCCCCTGCCCCATGGATCTTTCCCCTGCTGCCTGGGTGGCCACCCTTCCCTGTCTCTTAGTGCCTGGAACATGTGGCCATGGGAGAGGTGGCTGCAGGGGCCTGTTATCTATATATTAACTACTCACAGGCTTCATATCAACTCCTTGCAGGCTACATGTGGTCCACAGGTCACCAGTTAGCCCTGCGGCTAGACAAAGCACTGATTGTAATTGAGAATTACTTAAGATAAAAGTTTTTTTGATTTGAACAGTTTTAACATTTATGTTGGGAATATTTTATAGTCTTTCAGAAAAGCTGTTTATTCATAGTTGTTACTTGGGCTGTAATGAAATATTTGCATCAACTTCGAATTGTTAACAAAAATTATTGCTGTCTGACTAGTACAACGGGTATTTGAAGTGACAAGTGAGGTCTGTAGAAGAGGTCTCCTCCCTGAGACTGCTTGTTCTAGTATACTGTGAAACGTTGGTCTGTTGGATAATACATAACAACAAGCCCTGAAAAAAAAGCTGCTGTAGCAGCTAACCTACTGATTTTTTAAAAATATTACTTCCCACATAACACCATCCAACTTAAACTTTAAGAGGAAAATACATTAAGCCTTCCAAAACCCTGCAAATTAAGAATACCTTCATTTTATATATAAGGAAACTGATGTTCCTAGAGAAAGGCAAGTAAAGCTCACATAGAATATCTGAACAGGAGAAATAGCCCTTTTGCCTAACAGGCCTTCACTTTTAATCCAAGACAACCCTTTCCATAGTAAGCTATAACGAAATGGGCCAAATACTTCCATTTTAGTTTTATTGGTAGCATTTCCAATGAGCACTAGAACTGAAACAGCTACGAGTTTATTATATAGCAGATATTTTTAAAGTATTATCTTATTCTGATGCTTCATGTTCCCATTCATACTTTAAATTTCTTTTTTTTTCTCTTTTTTTCTCTTTCAGCGTCTTGCTCACACTGGAATTATAGTTACCACCAGTGAGGCTATATTGCTGCAGCTGGTAGCTGATAAAGAGCATCCAAAATTCAAAGAAATCCAAAATCTCATTAAGGCAAGTGCTCCTGAGTCAGGGCTCCTTTCCAAAGTTTAAAGAGGACCCACTGTAAAAGCAGAATGTTGTCACTTTTAAGGAAGAAGTCAAGCTGTATGCATACGCACACGTTTTCTCTCACAACTTTTGGCAGAAATGTTAAACTGAAAATTGACATATTTGTGCTTGCCTTAGCAAAATTTGTCTGGTTTTACTGTCCAGGTGCCAGTGTGTTCTGTTGAGTCAAAGATGTCAGAGGCTTTGGATATCATAGGATCCTTTTGTTGTCAGATTCTTATTTATTTTAAAATGCAAAACTCAACAGAGATAGGTGCCTGTTTGTCTGTACTGTACTCACTGATTGTAACAATTCCAGAAAGTGCATATTTATGTGAAATCTCTTGATTGTGCACTTTGTAAAAAATGTACTGGGTTATTCTGTGTCATTTTTGTATTAATAGAAGAGAAAAATGTATAGGATAAATGTAATGTGAAATGCTTTAACATTCTACATAAAGTATACTATTTTAATAGAGGAGAATTTCAGAAGAATAAAATTAATAGATTATATGTGTATAATGTATTTTAGAGTAAAAAAATGTAAATGCTTAGCTTATTCAGTAGGAAAGACATAAATGATGCAACAATAAAGGTTTGATTTTATTTTGGTGGTTGAAGTTAGATAGCATGGATTCTTGATTATTCTATACTCGATTACCAGCTTTATTTCAACTGAAAGTTCCTTTTGGGTCTTTTAAAATTACGTAAAAGTTCTGGTTGCCCCATTTAAAATTATTAAACAAAAATCTGTTTATGACTAGGATTAAAGGATTGGCATATAGTAATTTAAAACTAGTGACAGACTATTGGCAGTTTAAATTGCGTGCTGATTCCTGAGGGAATACAAAAATTTGGAATACTTCAGTTTCAGACACTGAAGGATAGCTAATTATTTCTAGACATGTCTCCAGATTTTTTTAAATCCTTGTATGGCCAGGTTTAATAAACTCCATCTGGTTTCTGCATTTGGCTGAGCAAGTCCTGAAAAAAATCAACTTTTTCTGTGTTTGTGCAGACTTTTGCAGGACTGTTGTTGGATGGAGCTTAAATGGAATCTGGCCTAAAAGCATACTTTCAGAAAGGGCATCATCTGTAGCTTGTTGCTATATATTTTGTAGCTGGAACTAAACTTTAACACATGATTGTTCTTTTTGAAGGCACGTTCTTCATGTTCTAATGATGTAAAAATTGTTATATAGAGTTTACAATGAGAATGTTTGACTTTTTTTTTAAGCATTTTGAAAATATCTAGTTGATAACACTGGTCTTTTTGGTATAAGAGTACTTAAGGCAAATGTAGTGGCTGAAATGAATTATTATCCCCCAAACATGAATCAAATAATTTGTTTCAGAAAATATAACTTTTATGTTGAAAGCAAATAAAATATTAACACTTTCTGTCTCTCTGTGCTTGTGTTTTTTATTGAAGGGCAAATTCTGAAAACTTAATTCAGCATAAATGTTATTCTAATTTGTGCAGCCTATGAATTTCCATGGACGTCAGGGGAATTTTGAGCATCAAAGGTGCATTATGTCCCAGTAATAACTTTTTTTTTTTCTTATATTTTCATGATTGTTTATACTTTAAAGTTTAAGCAACAAACATGAATCTTGTAGTCAGGGCCCAGAAAAGAGAAGAGAAAAGGAAAGAATTGAAGGAACATTTGTCCCATGTCCTGACCTACTTCTACCTTCTTTTCTGGTATATTAATCATGCTGCCTAGCAAAGTGAAGTCCACTTATATAAAGCAACAACTGTACACAAAAATCCTATAAATACCACAGTGAAATATGATTCTGTTCCTTGTTATTTATATGTATATATAAGTTGGGGGGGGCAGGCTATGAAAATTTGTCAACAGTTTTCATGCATGTAGACTTTTTTTTTAAAGAGATGTTGTCAACTGTTGGAACACCATATTTTATTTGAAAAACAGGCATTTATATATGATTGCAGTTCTGGGGAATTCATTAAGACACCAGTATAACAGGGAGTTGACTTCCCGTAGGGCCACATGTATTTCCATCATCCCACACAGAGGTTTCACTGGAATTACAGTGCCAGAGCAAACCACCAAGGTCATAGAGTCTGAACAGTATCTCCTTTACTTCCAGCAAAGCTAAGATTTCCATGAGATTTGTGAAATGAATATATTCCTTGTGCTGTGCTGCCCAAAAGTTGAAGGAAACAGAGCCCAACTGTTCCTTATCCCAAATCAAAAAAAAAGAGAGGAGGAGGAAACTTCATGAGATCTTTATGGAGGTTTCTTTCTCTTGAGTCACTTCCCAAGGAATAAAGAAGAAGAAAAGTAGTACTGGAATGATTAGAAAGGTTATGGAATATCCATCATTGGTAAATTGTAAGCTCATACCTACAAAGACTTGGCTGGGATGATTTAAACAGGGATGATCCTCCCTCTCCCACGAGGTCTTGACAGGATGACTTCCTGAGGTTCCTTGTAGTCCTGCTTTTTCTATGAATCTAAGACTTTGGGGACAGAAATGTCTTTAAATCTAATTAGTATTCCCAGTGATGCTTATTTCTACTTAGAACACTTGCTACATTATTTATTAATTTCCTCTTGAAGTTTTTAATTTTTAAAAAGTCCCAATTTGTCTGTATGTGGAAGGGGGGGTCCCCATATAGCACACTTGACTAAAATTACTGTGTATCTTGAGACTTTGGCTGAGAAGTGAGGCACAAGGCAAATGAAATACTTTTCCTTTACTAGTGCACTAATCAGCATATTTGCATGGTCTGAAGTGTCCAAATGAGATTATAATAGAGTTTGTTTAAAAAGGAATTGCCAATCTGCGTGTTCCTCAGGCAGTAAAGATTAAGACAATTTTATGCTAGTTTTTTATGCTGCTGTTCAAGTTTATTAAGTTATTTATACTGTGGGCATGTGGGCTTGCTTGCTGATTAGAGTACCACAGACAAGAAGAGTAGGAAAAGAGATTGAAGGGCCTATTTTGAGAGGTGGTGAACTCTAGCAGTTCTGTTTAAATTGGAGCCATTGGTCATTAGCCTATGCAGAAGTTTCACAAACATCATCACCTTTGACTTAAGCACCTCCTTGATATGAAAACATTGGTAACCTGCTTGTTTTTAATGTTATGTTGATCCATCCTATTTGACATACAATTATATTTTTCATTTTCCTTCTTCCCCAAAATGGCACGTCAGATTTGTTTTCTATCTGTTTACTGCTGTGCCCAAGAAGTTACTTTATTTGCCCAGTTATTTAATCTAAGGAAATGGTGCTCAGCATTTTTGCCCCAAGGGCTGGATTGGCAGCCCCAGTCCATCCGTGGGTTCACTGATGGTCCCAATCCAGTGTGTAGGGCAGGGGCAGTGGGACCTGATCTGGCTCCGCAGAGAGGTAGAGGCCAGCGTGGCTCCAGTCTAACCACATAGGTGGAGAGAGAATGGCTTGGTCCTTACCCAGGTGCACAGGGCTTGGGTATTTGGCAGTGGAGGAGGGTTGCCAGTATTACTGGCCATTGCTTCCCCCACCAACAAACTCCCTGACCTGTGGGGGGAGCTGCATGAGCCAAGAGCCAAGCTGTGCCTGGCAGTAAGGGGGGAAAGGGGGGTAGAAGCTTCAGATGGCAAGCATAGGGGATGCCAGGGCTCCATGGGCTGGATGCCAGGGGTCCATGGGCCAAATTATTCCTACAGACTAGGGGTTGAACATCCCTTACTTCAGATACCATATTTACTCAAATCTAAGATGAGATCCCACCCCCCATACACCCCTCATCTAAGATTCGTGTACAAAGTGTGTGTGGGGGGAGGGCCAGGAAGCTCCTGCAGCTCTGACTGGCCCTGAGTCCAGGTCGCAGCAGTATCCTGCCTCCCACCCCAGCTTGCCCTCTAAAGCTGTGGAGTGGGGGGGAAGAGGTAGCGATTTTGGAGAGTGGGAGGGGCAGGGGCTGTGAGGAGCTAGGGGTGGGGCGTGCTGGTGGCAAGGGGCCAGGAAAGCTGCAAGGGGAAGAAGTGGGGGCAGAGGGCAAGAGATCCATTTGACTGCCCCACCCACTTTTCCCTGCTGTGGGGTGTAGAGACAAAGTTAAGAACATTCTCCACTAATTAGATTCTATACCTGGAAAATTATAACAAATTAATACATTTTCCATATACAGAATCTAATTATTCAGGGGCTGTCTTAAATTCAGAGGAGACTTAGATTTGAGTAAATGTGGAATTTCTAAATGCCTATCAGTGTGAATTGTAATGGTCAAGTCATGAAAGGAAATAATCTACCTGAAAAGATTATATTAAGACAGACAACACATTCATACCGCTGATCAGAATTCAGACTTTTTAAAGTGCACTTTATAATATTTTTCTGATAGTTTTAGTATTACTGACCTATAGAAATAATACAAATGTTCCTTTTGTTTCACTTATCTTTAATAAAAACACGTAAGTATGCATATATGCTAATGATAGCTTCTCTAATAAAGTGGAAAAACCCAGTCCAGTTGGTCATAGTTTACACAAATAAACATAAAACTATTGGAGAATATTGATGCATAAACCTATTGTCCTAAGTCTGCCTTTGATAAGTGACCTTTGGATAAATCTGGTAGCCTATGAACAAAAAAACATTTGTGATATTTAGTACTGTGGCCTGTGTTCAATGTACTTGCAGTTCAACATGCAATCTCTACACCAGGTACCTTAACAGTGTGTTTTAAGCTTTGAATTGATCTCTCATACAGCAGATGAAATATATACTCCTCATGTCTTAAAGCAAATTTGTTTTTCTGTGCAGGTATTATAGAGGATGGCTGCTTTATACCTTACCTTGCTAGTTTAGGATAGAGAAGAAAGGACAGGTAGATTTTTTTCATGCTATTATGTGCCCATTTTTCAGTTTCAAATGCCCAAAGAGAATTTAAACTAAAAAATGAATTGGTCCCTTAGTGTATTGTGTGGTTTTGATGAATACCGTGATACAATTCACTCACTTCTCTTACACTCATTGACAGGAAATGGAGGAAATACTCCCAATTTATAATGATATCTTTGATAAAACTTTTGTTAATTTAAAGCTAGTAGATTTAAAGGTTTTTTTTTTTGTTTATTTGAAAAACAACCCAGAACCACTAGTTAAGTGTTGTATCCTTTTCATTTAAATATATTTTCATTTAAAAATGAATTGGAGAGGACACTGGTTAAACCTAGTTAAGCACGTTCTGCTATTTCTGTAGCGTGAGTTAGTCTTTTGCAAGATTGCTCATGTAAAGAAGTGGATAAAGCAGAAGTGGAAAAAAGTATTACAAAGAATCTAATGACCTGGGTCTTGTGCAAACCCCTCCTACTGTCTTTCAAAATGTTGATACAATAAGCATTGTATCATAAAATTTTTGCTCCCTTGTTGCAAGTTGTTGATGTACACCCTTTAATCTTTCACATCATAATGACTCATTTCGAACCCTTGCAGACTGAAAAGGTTTATCTAGTGTGGTACAAAAGAAGACTAGTCATTAAGGGGAGCTTCTGAAGGTAAGCAATTATCTTTTGTGCAAACCTTTATTAAAAATCTAAACAAGCACAACTACAAGTTGAAACAGAAATATGAAGTAAGAAAAAATAATCATCCCTGTCTCATAAATATGTAACACTCTGCTCCTGAAAAGAGTTCTGAAGTTTAAATAGACAGATAGGAAGGCATTCAAGTGCTGACTCTCACTCCCACATATGTGCCGCCAATATACGTTCCTTTATAGTCAAGGAAATTATGCATATTCATAACTTCTTGACCATACTTTGGCTTCCTTACCCCATTGTTCCTTATCCCCAGAGGGGATAGCACCAGACTGTCAGCATAGTCACCAGTGAAGTGACAGGTAAGAAATCAGTGAAATTGCCAAGCAGTCCTCACTTTGAAGAGACTGACAGCTCTGAAACAAAGCTGTTAGCTAGCCACTGAAGATCTTTTCATTAGACCTGAGCTACTGAGTTCCTAGGATATGGGAACAAAAATGAGATAGTGTAGGCCAGTTACTCTCAACCAGGGTGCCATAGCACCATGGCACCATGGGGTGCCTTAAGATCCTCTCAAGATAGGGTGCTATGCAGTATTAGCACTGTTAGGTACTCAAACATGATTCACAAGATAAACTCTGAGATCTCAAATAGGAATCCATAGTGTCAGAAACATTCTGGCTTGTTGTGGGCGTACTGCATTCTTTGTCACAGAAGAATTGTTCTATTATTTTTCCATAGGTAAAAAATGAAAGCTAAGAGCTGGCATTTTCCAGAGTCCCTTGAGTCTAGCAAGGGTACGTCTTTGGAAAGTCATCTTTTACTGGCATTCTCAGTGCTATGGGAATTCTATGCTGCAGAGGAGACATAACACAGAATCTAGCCCTTGGTTCATCATT